GATAGGTTAATACCTTGGAAAGTTCATAATTGCATGTATAATAGAGAAAACATAGATCCAAGGTATTTAGAGTTGCATGTACACTTAGGAGTGCTAGAAAGCTCAAAATCCATCACAAACATGCCCAAGAGGTGTTATAATGAGGTTCAAATAGGGTGCAAACCCTTATAATTAGTGTTTTCCCAAACCATGCATACACCCAGCGTAATCCCACGTACACCCAGCGTACGTGGGTGATGCTCGCGACTAGCAATTAGCTAGTAAGCGAAGCGTACTCATACAGTATGCCCCGTGTACTAGCCAAAGACTAAAATGAAAGTAGTTTGCATAAAAGAGCTAAAAGGAAACTTACCAAAAACTTGAATGTTACACTTTTCCTCTCAATGCTCAAGGCATTTGGAAAAATCATAATAAGTGAATATTATACGATATGTAATTGATCCTATACCCCAACTATATGGGACTCAATCCATTATGTCTTACATAATGATCTGATATATGTTCTATCTCTTGCTATAATATTTCCATATATTGAATTTCCTATGTTGAACTATTTTAAACATGATATTCATATACGTCTATGACTAAGTTCTCTTAAGTTATATGATATAATCCTTTGGATTCCAAACGAAGTATGATTGCCCTCTCCCTCAGGCCTACTATAGCGTAACAATTCCCAAACTTCGCAATTTGAAAATTGAACACTTTGTTCCCAACGAATAGTATTGTCAACATATAATACTATCATAACAATTATGCTCCAACTAGGTTTGTCATATATACCCAGAAATCAACTGGACTTCTAGAAATCAATACTCTTGACTTTCTTACCAAAGTACATATTTTTGTTATGTGACGCTTCGATAAGTCTCCGACTAGACTTCTTATTCTTATACACCTTCATGTGATAGCCGTATGTGAGTTTAAACCCTTTTAGAACTTGTAGATATATGTCATGAAATTTCAAACACTTCATTGCCATTCCTCACAATTCAAAATATAAAAAGGGATGTCATAATCATATTAAGAATTTGAGAATGCAACTAACACAACCAATATCCATATTGATCTTTATCAGACCCTTTAAAATCTACTAGAGAAAATGTTTCATCATAATCATTCTCATGAATTAGAGTGAAAAATTTGTCACCTAGATTTTATGGTCCATACGTTCCCATCAATGTGAATCTATCATTTCCAAACTACAATCATAATACAAGGTTTAAGACAAAAGCAAATTCAAATTAGGCTTTCCTTCATGGACTGAACTTCACTCACTACTACAAAAACAACCTTTTACGAAATGCAATACGTGTCGTAAAACGCTCAGACGACACGCAAATGCGTGTCAAGGAAGACCCTGTCATAACGAAAAACGACACGCTTTTACGCGTCGTCTATTTAAGAGATGCATTTACGACGTGCATTTATGACGTACATTTACGACACGCATTCCGTGTCAAGGAAGGCACTGTCATAAAGGAATATGGCACGCATGTGCGTGTCGTAAGAGTCTATGGATAGGAACTTATAAAACAATGGAGTCAGATAATGGATGTACCTGAAGTACATTCATATGATTTGACTTTATTATCTCTAAGATCTTTTAGGTATTTTGGGCAGCTTCGTTTCCAATGTCCCTTCAATTGGTAGTAAAAACAAATGGGCCCTTTGAGGTCAACACATGGAACGATCCCAGAACTAGCTTTTCTCTTTACCATACGATCAAACAGTTTGATCTTGGATGACCCATTTCTGTTGGGAAGAGAAATCTTTTCTAGACCACCATTATCACCATTGACAATGTCCATGGAAACTTTAGAATTAGACCGAACAAGAATCTCCACTTTAGATATGCTCATAAGTATTTCTGCTTCAGCAACTATCAACATTTGGGTTAGATTAATTAGGGTCATGTCAATATTCCTCATATAAAATTTCTCAATGAACTGATCGTATGACTATGGAAGTGAGAGAAGAACCAAGTCAATGCTTGATTCCTTGGGAAAGTGACACCTATTCTATCCAACTTGTCAATGTACGATTTCTTTTTAGAATCATGCATACACACAAAGTTTTCATCTTGATGTTTATATGCCAATAGGGATTGGGTAGTCTTGTATCTTTCAACTTGAGGAAAATGTGACGTTGGGAGAGTCACATGAGAAGGAGATGATGTCTAGTTCCATCATTTCCTAAGTAAGGAAAAACAATTTTACCTTGACTTGAAATTGGAAGATGATATCTAGAAGATTGAGGAAAATTATTTCCTTAACAATGAGGAAGATTATTTCTATCTTCGTATAAGGTATTTTAAAATAGGAGAAAAAGAGAATTCAAGTTAGTTGATTTTAATCCTTAATTATTAATCCATAAATTTAAATTAAGGCTAGGATCCATATTTTCGAATCGAACTTTGAAGAGGGATGTCGTAATCAAACTCGAATCTATTTTAGGTAGGTAAGGCTTTTACCAATTCCAGTTTTATGAAATTTGAAGATCTTTTGAGATTTATTGATTCTTATCAATGGCATATTTAATCTTGGATTGTGCTCTTAATTTTGTGACTAGGATGCGGAGGATCACAAATGAGATGTGAATAACCATGCAAACCCACTTGACAACTTTGATGTCATTTATCATCTCACATTGATGTGCCGGTAAACCACACATGCTCCATCAACAACAATAATTTTCAAGATGTCCATCATATATCCTTATAGTCCTTATTAAAGAGTCGGTTAACCACACACGCTCCACTACCGACATATAAAACATGATGTGTGTTTTCAAGGATTATCATACTTTTCACATTTTCCTAAAGTAACTATAGTGAGATATTGTAAAAAGGTGTTCTAGTACTTTAATAGCATTATACTTCTAATGAAATTATGTCCTATCAAATTCATTATGCTAACGACACTCCACCAAACAAGGAAGTGGCGGGTGAGAGTGGACATCCATTCAACCGTCATTTTATAGGCAGTTTCTTTATGCCCCTTTATAGTATGGCTTCGTGAATGAGGCATACAAACGATTTGACTGACTTAGTCTTATACATATTGTAATTAACATTATATATA